GGAGTGGGACTCCACGCCCCCTTCGACGAATCCGTGGGGGGGCGGGGTGGTGGGGTTCGCACGTGGCCACCTCGAAGTCCAACATGTTCTTCGGCGGCTTCCCAGGGATGGACGGGCCGGGCGGCTTCCCCGGTGGCATGGGCGGCAAGGCTGGCGGCCTCTCTTTTTCCTCACCAGGCAGATGGGGGCTGCTGGACGTAGGGGAAGAGCGCCCGCCCCGCCTCGCACATCCCGCGCAGCGCGGTCGCCAGGCTTCGAACGTTCGCCCATGGGTAGCCCGCCCCGCGCTCTTGGGTGGGGGTTGCTCGCAGCAGAGTGTACGCGATCCCGGTCCGCCGCAACCGACGCCATCGAGGCTCGCACCGCCAGCGCCGCCGCTCGGCAGAGGCGGCCCCGCCGTCCGCACGGTCGCCGAGACCAGGCAAGGCCAAAGCAGTCAGGAGGGAGCAAACACACGCAGACACAAGTGATCCTCGATTCCCAAGAAGAGCTAAGAAAAATAAAGGAAGTGGGGGGTGATGCGGCGAACGTCCCGGAAATGTCAGAAGGTGTGAGGGATCTTGGGATGTGTGTCTATTTATGTGAGTGTGTGTGTGTGTCCCTGGGCCCCTTCAAACAGCTCAGCACCGAGCCGCGCACCCGCTCCAGCCCTCCGCCACCGCCAGTGCGGAGAGGAGAGCGTCGGCCCTGCCCCCGAGGCCCCCCTCGCGCCGTGACAACGAGCACGACGGGAGTTGTCCTGCGACAGTCGGACCGAAGTGTGAGATCGAGGTCGGTTCGGGAAGGGTAACCGGATGCTCGTTCTGCTTGTTGGATGTTCTTGTGCATCCCAGGGAGGGGTACCCTCGGTGATCTTATGATTTGGGGTGCTTCTGGCCGGCGGAGGGTCCCATGTTCTTGAAGGATGCTCTGCAGGCCCAGGTCCGCCTGTCCTGTCTCACTCTTGGGGCCCTCGCCGAGACCGGGACCCTCAGAAAGACTGGGGATGGAAACGCCAGTCCCAGGCAATGTGGCCGGAGTTTTGGAAGATCGCCACCGCCATGGCTCCGAGGGTAAGCGCTGACCCTCGCTCTCGCTTCCACGCCTGTACCAAGCCATGTTTAGCATCAGCGTTCTTCCGTGCTCGCCATCCGAGGGCCCGCTTGGCATGGGCTGATAGCGGGGGTCCACGAGTGCGGGGCCAAAGTCTCCCGTCTTCGACGTCCTTCTCTGAATCGTCTCCTCCCCGCTCTCCCTTCCCTATCCCTCAACCCAGCTCCTCCCTTTCTCCCAAGCCTCCCGGATCCTGTTGGGACCCCGACCCTTCTCCCATCGTTCCTCTAAGCCTTCTCCCCTCTCACTCCTCCTTCCCTTCCCCTCTTGTCCCTCATCCCCCTCGTCGTCTTCCACCCTCCTACATCAGCTCCTCATTGATTATCAGTATCGCTCTTCCTCTCTCGCTCTCTCTCTCTCTCTCTATCTCTTCCTCTCTTTCGCTCTCTTTCTTTCTCTCTCTCTCTCTCTCTCTCTTCCCTTCCCTCTCTCTCTCTCTCTCTGTTGGGACGTCGGTCTGTCAAATGGTCTTCCCGCCGTACTGGTGGCCTTACTTCAGGATTGTAGCCTTGAATGGCGCTCTCGCTCCAGTGCGGGACTTGCTCGCGAATTCTGTTCCTTGTCCTCCTGATCGTCTGCTAAATCCTTACCCTGTTTCTGCTGCTGCTCGTCGGCTTTGTCGTCTCCCCCAGCATGTCTCATCCTCGTCTTGCTCCTGCTGTTGTCCTTGCATGTCTGCCATCTCCTCCGTCTGACTGTGCATCGCACGATGGGGCCATATTTGGAATCCGTGTCCGCTCAGACACCCGCCAGCGGATACAGAGCACACATCATCGAATCAACATTGCATGGGGTAGAGATGGGTACGAGGGATGTTGTCAGATACGGCGTTAGCGCACCTAGCTCGTCGTCCTCCTCTCTTCTATCTTCTCCTCCGTCTCGCCCCTCGTCCATCTACCGCTTTCGCACGCTTCCGTCTTCAATGTGATGCTTTCTTGCCGCCCATCTCTCCCCCACCCCCCTCCTCCATACTCTTCCTTTTACTCTCCTCCCTCCTCCATCCTCTTCCTTCTGCCGTTATCCTCCTTTCCGCTTTCCTCATATGACCTCCTCATGCATCTCCCCTACTCTTTTTCTCTTCCATCCCTCCTGCTTCCCCCCTTCTTATTCAGTGGATTCTTCCTGCGAGGGGGAAGATGAGGCGAATGACGGTTCGGAGTAATATGACACAGATGAATTTGGAGGCCGAGGAGGAAGAGGTGAGAAGGAGGAGGCGGACCGGGGGTGAGTGCGTGTTCTTGTTGGCGGTGGTGATGTGGCTGGATGATGAAAAAGGGGAGGAGAGGGTGGAGGAAAGGGTGAGTGGGAACGGCGAGGACGAGGGGGAGGGAGGACAAGAACGAGGACGAAACAGGTGGCCAGACCTCACATGATGATTTCTTTCAGGAGGGGACAAGCACACATGCACAATTAATCGTCGATCCCCAGGAACTATGAAAAAATATGGGCAGTGGGGGGGGAAAACGAAAATCAAAAAAATGGGAAAGTTTGGGGATCCTGTTGTTTGTGGGTATCTGTGTGTGTACCTGGGCCCCTTTGTTCTTTATCGAGGACATCCAATTGATTGCTGCTCCAGCCTTTGAGACTCTAGAGAAAATCGGAGCGCGAAGGGCGGTGGCCGCAGCAGCAAGCCCGCGGACACCACCAAGTTCTACAAGACGCTCGAGGTGGACAAGAGCGCCAGCGATGCCGACATCAAGAAGGCCTGATGGGCCTGTTTTCTACCACCACCATAAGTTGCAGGGGGAAGGGGGTTCTCGTCCTCCTCCCCCACCTCCTCCTCCTCCTCCTCCTCCTCCTCCTCCTCCTCGTCCTCGTCCTCCTCCTCCTTCCCCCCCTCCAACTTCTGGCAGTGGTGGGGGAAAACAGGCCCAGCAAGGCCTACAGGAAGCTCGCGGTGAAGCACCACCCTGACAAGGCCGGCCGGACGCGCTCGCGGCAAGCGTGAGCAGATGAGTGGTGCCGTCGTCGAGTCGCTCTCGGGCGCGGCCCATTCCCCCTACGCATGTGGATTTTGCACCAGAGGCCTCCTGGAGGTGTCTTCTGCCTCTTGAGTGGCCTGTTGTTTTTTGTATATAAACAGAAAAAAAGAAGGTGGTTTGAATTCAAGCCAGTCTGTGAATTCCCAAACAATCCCCCATGCGTGGGTTCTCCACCAGAGACCTATTGGAGGCGTCATCTGCGTCTGCCTCTTGCGTGGTCCGTCAGGGAGCCGGCAGGCCGGCTCGGGTGCCATCTTTGGGAGAAGCTGAGCAGTGGCGAAGCGTCCCGGCTCGCCCATAGGCCCACCAACGAGCGTCCTAAGAACCTGTCCGCGGTCTGCGCGGGATGTCCTTAGAGCATTTCTGGCCGTTTTGTTACATCGGGCTAATGTTCTAAGATCACTGTGTTTGTTATAAGAGCATGTTTGGGGTTCTAGGAACATGTCGTGGTCGGCCTACTGGAATGCCGGGGCAGTCGGTCCCCGGTCAAGACATGGCTCAAGATGTCAGTTCGCCCCCCCCCCCCCCCTGTCGCGGTCCTCTTGGGCGCCGCTTGGGCCCTTCGGGGGTGCCTCTTCGACCTGATTGGACCCTCCTGTCGGCGGCGCGCGAGGGGGGAAGTGAGAAGGAGAAGGCCTTCTCAGAAGGCGGCGGTTTTTTGTCATAAGCCCTCGCGCCTCCTGAGAAGGTTGTTCTATCTTCGGGGAAGGCTTAGACAACTTTTCATAATACTGGAGGACGTCCGAGCCTTCTGGGCAGGCCTTCTTACTTCTCACTTCCACCCCTCGCTCGCCGCCGATCCTGGGCCGTTTCTGGGGCCCTCCTGGGCGTTCCCTGGGCGGTCTCGGGGCGATCTTGGGGGCCCCTTGGCCCGCCTTGGGGCGGTCGAGAGGGGCGATCTGGGGGCCCCATTGACGCCTCCTGGATGCCGCGTGGGAGGCTCTGGAGGGCCTCTCGGGAGTATCTTGGAGGCCCGAGGAAGGTCCTCGGGGACCATCTCGGGAGGCAGGGCTCCTGGCCGCCGTTCGATCCTGGAACGTCGACTCTCGACCTTCGATCCTCCACCCTCGACCCTCGATCTTCGTGTTCTCACCTTTGAGCCCCTCTGGAGCTCTTTGGGGCAGTGTGCGGGCGATCTTGGGAACATCCCGGGCCGTCTTGGGCACTCTTTGGGTTGGGAACCGGAAAAAGCCGGCAACCGCAAAATCATGCGGAGGTTGCGTCAGGCATAGCCAGGACCCCAGGTAAGTGGACCCGGTTAGTGTTATGGCCCTGGAGCACCCAAATTAGCCAGAATCACTGAACCAGGTCTTCCGTAGCCGGTGTTTTTTCGGGTGACGGCAGTTCCTGTTAGTGGAACGGGGCGGGGGAGGGGCGTCCCCCAGTACACATCAGTAAACCAAGTCCCACTAGACCCAGTTCTGCCAACGCACGGTTGATGCTCCATTCGATGGTTTGGCCCTTGTCTAGCCAGCCACCCAGGGCCTCCTACACGGCCTGAGAGGCCCCAACAACACTCAAGAAGAAGAGGGGGGAAGGGGTGGAGAAAGACGCGGGAGGAGTACGGGAGGGACAAGGAGGAGGAAGAGGAGGAGGAGGGCGCCATGAACATAAACTTGTGGCGCTCCGTGCGGATTTCTTGGATCCGCGCTGGGCCCCCCCCCCCGGCGGCGCCTCCGAGCGCGCTCCGCGCGCCAGGGAGAGGGGTCCAGCGCAGATCAAAGAAATCCGCGCGTAGCGCCAAAAGTTTACGTTTGTTTTCTTCTCCTGGTGGGAGGGGGAGGAGGAGGAGGGTCCCTAGCAGGGCATGCCTGAAGGTTGACTCCGAGCCGCGGTCGCGAGGCCTCTGGAGAAGCCATGCGGGCATGCCAGGAGCGCGCGGAGGCACCCCCGAAGCGCTCGGGGGGTCCGCGGGCCGTGGGCCTAAGGTATGATTCACGCTGCTCCGCGCGAGCTTACATGCTCCCTGCTGGGGGTCCCCGAGCTCAGTGGGCCCCAGAAACGGCAGGGCCGTTTTTGCGACCATTTCCGAAAGGTGTCTCGTGAAGACGGAAACGGCAACAAAACGGCGACCAAAAGCGGCAATAAAAACGGCTCCAGGGTTGGAACAAGAGACGGAACCCGTAAAGAAACAGGTCCGGAAAAAAAAACAGCGTCGAAAACAGCAACACAAACGGCAAAACGGAACGGGTAGAAACAGGGCATTGTCGTTCCCAGGGCCCACCGAAGTCCCCGAGCACCGGAGGAGCGCATCGTGGGCTCGACGCGTCGGGGGCCTCAAGCATCGCCTTGCATGCAGCCGGGCCGACGAGACACAGCATGAGCTCTACGCGCGCACACAGAAGCCGCTGCACCGAGCGACGGCAGGCCGTGCAAAGCACTCGATGGTGCCACTGTGTGTGTGTGTGGGAGGAGAGGGAGGGGGGGAGGGGGAGGAGGAGGAGGAGGAGGAGGAGGAGGAGGAGGAGGAGGGGGAGGAGGAGGAGGAGGAGGAGGAGGAGGAGGAGGAGGAGGAGGAGGAGGAGGAGGAGGAGGAGAGACACAGCAGAAGAGGGCGCCAGAGTGCCCGTGCGCCCACTCGCCGAGGCCGCCGAGCACGACGGGGCTGGTCCCTCAGACGACCAGGGACCTGTCCAGCCACGGATCCCTCACACCCTTGGACCCTGCTGGAACTGGGAGCCACAGCTCTACCAGCACTCCTGGGCGGGTCAGACCAAAGGCCTGACCCACGATTACGCCGTAGAGCACCATGAAGAAGCCCGCGGCGACGACGATGCCCTCCGGCAGCGCGCTCAGGGCGAACCCCGAGCCAGCACGTGCCCGAACGTGCTCCAGCGGAGCGCTTCCGGAGCACGTTGGGCCCCATTGCCAACGCCACCTGGCATCGCAACGAAAACTATGCAGCCGACGTGGAGGCCGAAGCCGTTCTGGCCTGGTGGCCCCGCATGCTGTCCAGCAGCAGGGAGCCCGCGGTCATCACGTTGGTGGCACCACGCCAGGGCCTCCCAGTCTCCAGCGCGACCCGCGTGCTGGGATGCAGCCCGCGCCGCAGTTGCTTCACTGCGTCCTTCTCCTTCCACCGCGTCTTAGGCACCTTGTATGGCCCTCGGCACGGATCCCTAAACTTGGGTGAGAGCCGATTCGACTCGCTTGACCAAGCGCCGTCTCCGTGACGTGGCGGACGCCCACCGTCGGCGGCTCGCACGGCGAACAGCATAAAGTTCGGAGCGAGGCCTTGGTGGTCGCGAAGCGGTAGCACACCGCGCACTTCAGCACTCCGTTGGTGAGCTGCTTGAGGTCGTGGGCCACGATACTCAACTCTGGTACCTTCATACCCGCCTGGGCCACCTTGGCTACCTGCTGCGGGACCGCAGCTGACCCGCCAACTGAAAGCCGCACTGCGCGCTCAGCCGCCCAGGCCACGTAGCGCATGGCCTCCCGAACGTCCCGCAGCTGGATCTCGCACGCCCGCACGTGCACCTCCGACACCATGATGCTGGCCGAGCCCATCTTGGCGAAGACGTCGGCCCAGAAATTGCCGACGTAGTGGAAAGCCGTTCCGTCGGCCAGCACGGCGTCCTCCAGCTCGCGGTGGGCACGCACCCACTGTGCAGTCGGCATGGGCACGCCGCGCCCCTCCACCGTCGCCACGATTTGCCGCCAAACCATCGCGTGCGGAGCTCGCGGCCACCTGCACGAACGACATGTGGTCTGACAGCACGTGCACTGGCGGCCGCCCAAGCTGAATGGCTCGCATGCCGGCGTACCGCTCCGACCTCGGCACTGTCTGCACGAGCCCCGGGAGGCCGCCCCAGCGCGCCTTAATCGGCAGCAGCTCGTTCGAAATCTGCACGACTGACCATCCGCACCTGCGCGCCTCCACGAACGACGAGTGGCGGCCAGACCCATCGACAAAGAGCTGCTGCCCCCAAGCTTGTCCCTCCAGCCCCCACTCGAACTCCGGGAGCTCCTCGGGGACCTGGTCGGGCAGCGATGGGGCGAGCGGCAGGGCGAACTCAAGGTGCTCGTAGCTGGGCCCATCGCCCGTGTCCACTGCCTGCCCCCGCAGCCTCTCTCGGGTGACCAGCAGCTCCTCGGGGAAAGGTTCCTCCTCCTCATCGTCCTGCCGCCGCTGAACCGCCTCGCACTCGAAGTACAAGTGGCCGTTGGAGCCCTCGGGCGCGCCGCACAGTACGCAGTCCGGTGTCTCGCACCTCCCCGCAAGGAAAGAGCGCTGAGGAGGCCAGAGCGCGTTGGCCTGGAGTGCCCGCAGGGCCCCGCTCCGCCTTGGGCAGCGGCCCACGTCCTGGTGGCCCAGGGCCAGCGCCCTCCCCCAGACCTGGAAGCCCTGGTAGTGCGCGGGGTAGTGCGCCAGCATGCGGCGCTCCTGCCATCTCATGATGCCCTGCTCCAGGAGCGTCAGGACATCAGAAGGCGCCTGGCGCAGCAGGTGCACGACCTGGCCGCGGTCGTCCCGGAAGTGCATCGGGCCACACAGCTGCCAGTCTATCCGGCGCAAGCTAAGCCATACTGCCGCCAGGGGCCCGCGGCAATGGGCCCACGTGACCTTCTTGGCATCCTCGACATTGGCCTGCATGGCGAGGAAGGCCTTGCAGAGCCTCGCGGGAAAGCCCCTTGCTTGCCAGACCCAATCTGCGATATTCCCGACCACCGCCATCGTGACCTCGAAGATCGGGTCGAAGGTCCTGGCTGGCATCGTCATCAGGTAGGTCGTCAAGGACCCGTGGCCCTTGTAGCCCGCGAAGCGGCCCGCCGTCGCACGGAGCTGCCGGCGCGACTGGTCTTCGCACCCGGCCACGCTCGTGCCATGTGCGGCCGCTGGCAGGACCCCAGTCTTCCAGAGGATGCCTGCCTTCCTGGACCCCACGGCCTTGCGGAGCTGGTCAATCTTGCTCCACTTGCCGCCCAGGTTTACCATGCGACGCCTATGGACCAGCTTTTTGACCGCCCTGCTGTGGAGCTCGTGGCCAAGGTTCCGCATGTGGGCTTTCACGCGGAAGCGGATGACCTTTACGTACTCCGCGAACTTCCGCTTCGCCTCCCTCGTCGTGGCGACGAACCCGCACTTCGCGGGCTGGACCAGGCAGCCGAGCGGCTGCAGCTCCAAGCAGAAGGTGCGCACCGTGGTCCAGAGCTGGCCGAGGGTGCTCAGGTCAGTCCCCACCCACTGGAAGGAGACGTCGTCGATCAGCGCGCGTGGCCGCACCAAAGGGCTCCTTGCTATCGACACATTCAGCCCTTTCGTAAGCAAAACCCTGGCCAGCGTCGTGGCGTGGGAACACCCAGCTAGCATGCCCTGGAAGGCCGTGACCATGGCGGAGAGCGAGCCGTAGGCGCGGATCGTCCGCGGCTGCTGGTACGACCCCACCAGCATCCACGCCATGCGCATGGGGTAGCCAAGGGCCTGGCAGCAATCCAACAGGACATCGTGCCGCACCAGCTCATAGAACTTGAGGAGGTCAAAAAGCACCGTGACTGCGTGCTCCCCCAACAAGTCCGCGATCTCCGCCTCTATATTGGGCTCGAAGGCTGACGCCGAGGAAGACCTCCCGGCCCCTGAGCCCCAGAAGAATTCGGAGGGGTGACTATGCTCCCACGCCTCCGAGACGCCGCGCCGCGCCTTCCCCCAGACGCGCACCAGCGTATTCATGAGGGCGATCAGGCGGTGCCCCCCGTCGCTCTTGGGGAGCCGTACCAAGGTGGTCAGGAGGCGGTCCTGCGGCCAGACCGCCAAGGCTTCGCAACGCATGAAGAGGAGGAGGAGGAGGAGGAGGCGGAGGAGGAGGAGGAGGAGGAGGGAGAGGAGGAGGAGGAGGAGGAGGAGTAGGAGGAGGAGGAGGAGGAGGAGGAGGAGAGGAGAGGGAGGAGGAGGAGGAGGAGGAGGATGAGGAGGGGGGAAGAAGAGGAGGAGGAGGAGGAGGAGGAGGAGGACATTGTGTCTGTGTCTGTGTCAAAGGGGGATCCTGCCTGAGGGCCCCGCCGCGCGCGCACCGGCTTCGACCCCTGCTTCGCCTCGACGCCGCGCGCGAGGCCGCGACCGCCCCCCCAAACAAAAAGAGAGTGTGTTTGCGTGTGTGTGTGCGTTTGTGTGTGCGAATTTGTGTGCGCGCGTGTGTGCGCGTGTGTGACCTGCTCCAGTCCATGGCGCACCCTGTCCTGTGCAAGATCGTCGGCACCGCCTGTTTTCTGAGCCCTCCGGCCGCCTGAGGCCACGCCCGCCCGCGCTCTGTCTCCCCAATTAGGGCTACCCGCGTCCCGTTTAGCCCTTGACCGGAAGGGCCCGCTCCCGACCCGCAGACCAAAAAGTGTGTGTTTGTGTGTGTGTGTGTGTGTGTGTGTGTGTGTGTGTGTGTGTGTGTGTGTGTGTGTGTGTGTGTGTGCGAACGTGTGTGCGCGCGTGTGTGTGCGCGTGTACTGAGTTGCATCGTTCCGACCCCCCCTCCGCAAGGGGGGCGACCAAGAGAAGTTCAAGGAGATCACGCGGGCCTACGAGGTGCTCAGCGACGCAGAGAAGCGCGCCAAGTACGACAGGTTCGGCGAGGAGGGCCTGGAGGACACAGGGCATGTAAACCCACAGGGCAAGTGGCCCGCCGCCTCGTCATCTTCGTCGTCGTCGTCGTCGTCGTCGTCGTCGTCGTCGTCGTCGTCGTCGTCGTCGTCGTCGTCATCGTCCGTCGTCGTCGTCCGTCGTCCGTCGTCGTCGTTGTCATCGTTATCGTCGCCGTTGTCGTCGTCGTCGTTGTCGTCGTCGTCGTTGCTTTGTCCTCGTCGTCGTCGTCGTCGTCGTCGTTGTTCTTGTCGTCCTCGTCCTCGTTGTCCTCGTCGTTGTCTTCGCTCGCCCTGCTATCCCCCTCCCTTCATGTCCACCCTCCTCGTCCTTCTCCCCCTCTGCAGGAACACCAAGCACGCTTCAGGCATTTTCTGAGTTGCCAGTGGGCTTTTGGTAGCCATTCGGAAAAGAGCACCCTTGAGGCAGAAAGCCCGAAACAGCTTTACACACTGGCACGGAGGGGGGATACAATGGGAGTTCACGATGGGGAACTGGTTCTGGTGGCCTGGGCTCCCTCACTGGGCGAGAGAGGCACTATGCACCATGTAGACACGTTGCGGACACGTTGTTTGGCGAAGGATTTGGAAGACTCTCCTGGTAACGTCCTCTGCCTTTTTCCCCCCCTCCTGTCATGCATCGAAACATGCATTGCCACCTCACCCGCACCATGCGTACGCTTCCGCCATGTGCTCTGGCAGGCGCTGCGAGGCATGCGCCCGGAGAGCAGGTCGAGGCTGCACCTGAAATTGCCATCGGGCCGCGTGTACTCCTTCCCCTCCCTCCCCCCATTCCTCCAGGAGCTGAGATGTATACCTTACTATACAGTGAAGACGCTGCAATCTGGAACAGTTTGGGTTCGGGAGGGGCTGGATGCTTCTGAGGTCCTTCCATGGCTGTTCCTCTAGCCCTCCTCGTGAACGGAGGCGGTCTTGGGGCCTAAGAGGGGATTCGTTATGTTTCTAGCGTTCCTTTTTTCAGCGGCCGGCTGTATCCGTGTGGCCCCCAGCGTCCGACGTCGGAGTCAAAAAAGCAACGCCCTCAAGCGTCGCAACTGGAGCTTCCGATCGAATCGGGCAGCGGGTCCTCTCTAGCCGACATCGAGGGGCGCTGGGGTCTCCGCTTCGTCCTCCTCCACGGAGATCGGCCAGCCTGGGGCTGTCGGGGCTCAAGAGACGGGGGCCAGTTCAAGCGGGGCTCAGCCAGGGCGCTGGATCTTGCAGCATCCTGCAGGGCCAGGGGTGCACCGACCCGGGCTTGGGTGCAGGATCCCGCAGGATCCTGCAGCGCCTGACTGACCTGGGTCTGGACTGACCCGGGCCAGCAGGTCCCCGAGGCTGTTCTGAAGCGCGTCCTGGCCAAACATTCCGAAGCGGAGCCTCCTGCCACTGCGGCGGGAGCGCCCCCTCTGGGGGGGGGGGTAGGCTCTTCGTTCTCCCCATCTCCAGAGAGGAAGAAAGAGGGTGAGGAGAACGATGAGTAAGAGCAGTGGAAGAGGAGGAGGAGGAGCAGGAGGAGGAGGGGCAGGAGGAGAAGGAGGAGGAGGAGGAGGAGGAGCAGGAGGAGGGGAAGAGAGGACGGGGGAAATGACGCGAAAGGCGGGAGGAGGAGGAGGAGGAAGACCGGTGCAAACCCAGGACGCATCAAGGATATTGCAGTAAAAGATTCCTCCAAGTTCCCTATCTACAGGTCCCTACAATGATTTTCTTCAGTGCGGGAAGCGCCCAATTGAACGGCAACCGAAACGCGGCTCCTGCGCCAGAACACCAGTCTTGGGACGCCTACACTGTGAATCAACGCGTCCAGACGAAGCTAAACCGTGCCAGAACACCATGCCCGGGGTAACCCTACGAATCCTCAGGAATGTATTGTTTCACCATGCGGGTCTTTAATTGTACGAGTCCTCAGAACACGAACTTGGTCGACGCAGATGCGAGAGCAACATTTGAAAAGGAACCGCCAGCCATCTTCAAATCTGCGGCAAACATCAAAAAATGAATGTGCGCGGCGCTCAGGCGAGAGCCTTTTTTTGAACGTCTCGTCCTCCATCCGTGAACCGTTGAACTACATGTTGAACATGTCCCGCCCTCCTTGCGTCAAGCTGTTAAAAACTTGTATGACGAATGTTCACACCACACGTTCTCCATCCGCAGAGCTGTTGCAAACTTTCAGCCAGGATCGTACACTGTGAAGAGGTCTCAGGCAAAAACAACCCAGCCCGCCCTACCGACACGCCCGGTGGCGCATCATGGAGGAGTGATTGTCACAGGAGGCACCCTTGCGTTTGCGCCGCACTTCCAGTGGGGAGCAGGATTTGTCCGCTCCCGCTGTTGTCGACCACCATGTGTATGTGAGCTCTGTCTGCTCCCACCTCCTGCTCCCCACAAAAAATAGGAGTGTTTTTTGATTGAAATGGTATGGAGGAGGAGGGCATGTGTCGGGTGGTGCCAGAGGTGGCCTTGGCCCACGAAGGCCCCAGCGCTTCGAGGAAGGCCCAGAAGGCCTCCCAAGCTTCCCTGTCAAGGCTGCAAGCCCCATAAGGGGCTAAAAAGAATTGCTTGGACTGCTGAGGCACCTTGGGCCAGGAGCCCCCCACCCCTGCCCTGACCCCCCGAGTGTCAGGAAATGGCCCTCCAGACTTCGAATCTCGATGTGGGATCCAAGGCCCTCGTGCAATTCAGAGGCCTCCGGTTGCAATCACGTGCTGGACGGCCCTCCTGGAGTTCATAGGCGCATCAAGCACGCGATCGGCTCGCCAGCAGGTGCCCCACGGTACTATCTGATTGCCCCGGGGACCCACAGAAGCGCTGGGGCATCTTTGTCCCCAGAAGGTTCGACGAAGAGTGTCTCCCGAGATGTGCTGCATCAGGATCTCCTCCTCCGCCACCTCCCCCTCTTCCTCCTAGTTCTCCTTCTTCTCCTTCTTCTCCTCCTCCTCCTCCTCCTCCTCCTCCTCCTCCTCCTCCTCCTCCTCCTCTCTCGTCCTCTCTCCTCCTCCGCCTCCCCCTCCTCCTCCTGCTCCTCCTTCTCCCCCCTCCTCCTCTTCCTTCTCCTTCTCCTCCTCCTCCTCCTCCATCCTCCTCCTCCTCCTCCTCCTCCTCCTCCTCCTCCTCCTCCTCCTCCTCCTCTCTCCTCCTCCTTTCTCGTCTCTTCGCCTCCTCCTCCCACCTCCTCCTCCTCCTCCTCCTCCTCCTCCTCCTCCTCCTCCTCCTCCTCCTCCTCCTCCTCCTCTCTCCTCCTCCTCCTCCCTCGGGTCGTATGGGTCCGATGCAGATGGCCTTTGCGTGCGTGCGCGGCTTTCCTCGGCCGCCCCCCGCGGGGGAGGACGGCGGCGGCGGAGGCGACGCGTCGGACATCTTCGACGCCTTCTTCGGCGGCGGCGGGGGCCGGCGCGGAGGGGGCGGCGGCAGGACGCCTCGGGGGCGCCGAGGCCCAGACTGAAGTTGGGCCTGTCCCTCTACATTAGGGGACGATTTGTTTCATATTATTTTTGAGCATTGTTGGGGGACAGGCCGACAGGCCCGACCTAAGCCTAGACTCAGCGGCGAGCCCAGGGGGGAAGTGAGAAGGGGCGGGCCTTCTCAGAAGTCTCGGAAGTCCCCCGGCCTTCTGAGGAATCTTCTCAGCTTGTCCCGGAAGACACGGAGAATGTTTCACAGAAGGCGCGGGGGCTTCCGAGAAGTCCCGCCGCCTTCCGAGAAGGTTCCCCCCCTCGCTCGCCGCCACCAGACCTCCAACGGGTTGCTGCTCTCGACCTGCACCTTCCACTCGCCTTCCGCGCAGAAGGTGCCGCTGCGCTGCGGCCCCGGCGGCGTCCGCGGAAGGCGCGGAAGGTGCGGAAGGTTCCCTACTGACGCACGCACGCATTCATCATCATCATCATCATCATCATCATCATCATCATCATCATCATCATCATCATCAGCATCATCATCATCATCATCAGCATCAGCATCAGCATCAGCATCAGCATCATCATCATCATCATCAGCATTATCATCATCATCATCAGCATCATCATCAGCATCATCATCATTATCATCACCATCATCAACATCATCGTCATTATCATCATCATCGTCATCATCAGCAGCAGCAGTAGCAGCATCAGCAGCAGCATTATCACCATCACCAGCATCATATTCAACATCATCATCGCCACCATCGTCACCATCACACGCTCACTCATCCCCTCGGTCCTCCTCTCCTCGTTTCACACTCACCATTGCCATCACCCTGACCACGCTCACTCATGATCACAATCACTCACTCACTTACTCGCACAGACACACCCATCATCATCGTCATCCTCATCATCAGCGTCACCAGTATCATCATCATCATCACATCGACTTCATCAGCATCATCAGCACCGTCATCATCATGGACATCATCGCCATCACCCTCATTTTACTTATCATCACCACCATTCGTATTGTTATTTCATCGTCGTCATAGTCATCATAATGTTCATCGCACACGCACGTTCACACACCCATTCAATCACTCACACACTCATGAACGCACACACTCATACGGAGGAAGTTTCCAGCGGGAGACGCATCTGTAAATGAATCGCGAGGAGTTCTCGATCATGTTGGGGCCAGCAGGTTATGTTGGTAATCTGACGCAGCCACCGGAAATATTCTAAAAGAACACCAGTTTGGTGACACCTGGGAGTCTAAATCCCGAGGACTTCTCGAGCGGGAGCCTCAGGTGTGAGCGAACTGTGAGAAGTCTCGAGCGGGTGTCCCCTCCCCATAGGGCCCGCAGATCATGCTGGTGATCCGTGGCGGCCTTAGGGAAATAATGCAAACACACACACGCACGCACGCACGCACGCACACACGCACACACGCGCAGGCTTGGTGATACCCGGGAGCCCGAAGCCCGAGGGAGTCTCCAGCGGGAGCCTCGCCCGTGAGTGAACTGCAGGGAGGTCTCGAGCGGGAGGCGCTTCCCAGTGCGGCCCGGCAGATGTTGGCAATACGAGGCGGCCATCGGAACACCATTCAGAAGCACAGCTTTGGTGTCACATGGGGGGCATTCATGCCGCGGAAGTCTCGAGCGGGAGCCTCGACCGTGAGTGGATCGCGAGGAGGTCTCGAGCGGGAGCCCCTTCCAGATCGGGCCAGCAGATCATGTTGGTAGCCCGAGGCGGCCATCGGAAAGCAACGAAAAACACAGGCTTGGTGACACTTGGGGGCCTGAATCCCGAGGGAGTCGCGAGCGGGAGCCTCTTTCCTGTGCAAATTGCGAAGGTGTCTCGAGCGGGAGCCTCGTCTTTGAGTGGATCGCGACGAAGTCTCCAGTGGGAGCCTCCTTGCCCCATGTGGTCCCTACCTCACGCTGGTTATCCGAGGCGGCTGCCCTGTAGAAGCACAGGTTTGGTGACACCTGGGAGCCTGAATCTTCAGAAAGTCTCGAGCGGGAGCCTCGCTGCGCGTCCCCTGCTTGTGTAGTCCGAGGCGGCCATCCTCAATCGAGCTTGTGGGCGTCGGCAAGGACCAGCAGATACCAGACAGGAAGAGAGCCCCCGTAGTCACGCGGACGACGAGGAGGACTACTTCCAGATTTGTTCGGAAGCTTCCCATGTGGGGTCCTGCCGTCGGGGCAGTCTTCTCGTCGCCGCCCGCCGATCGACCCACCCGCGGTCAACTCCAGCGACCCAACCCGCGACCCACCAGCGACCCGTTTGCGAGCTTCTTTGCTCTGGCTTGACGCTCGAGCTTCGCAGCCTGGGCGAAGCAGCTCGGTCCCCCCCGCACTACTACCCGCAAGTTCGGGGCAGTGGCACTTCGCTGCCACGAGAGGTCGGCCGGAATGCAGCGCCTCCCGTCAGGCGACGGGGCCACAGTACAGCCCATTTGGTTCGATTTCGCAATGGCGATCCCGCCCAGGACTTCCTCGGAACAGTAGAGGTCGGCACCTCTTCAGCTCGGATTCGCAATGGCGCTCCCGCCTAAGATTTGTCTTGATGGAGGCACGAAGCGGGTCACAATTTCGTAGCGCCGACGTATCCTCAAACATCGAGCGGTCGGAGGTCTGGTAGGGGGGCCCTCAGCGGGGGCGGCATCGACACCCGAGCGACTTTCTTCAGGGCTTGGGTGCCTCGCCCTGCCCAGGAACTCCTGAGTCGCAGCGCGGCAGAGGCAGTCTGTACGCGCGCGCTCGGGCAAGGGAGGGCAGCGGCATCGCGAATTGACCGGCAGCAAGAGCGGGAAAGGAAGGAGGGTCGACTAGACGTAAGAGTGACCTTTCGCCGGAGTGACCTTTGGTGCGGGCACAGGTGGGCCCCCAGATGGCTGAACGCGAAGCGGTAGCAGCGGCTAGTAGCGCGCCTGAGTTTGGCCTCCCCGCGGCCCCCCCAAAGCCGCGCACCAAAGGCCACTCTTACCCAGGGTCACTCTTGCGTATAGCCGGGAGGGGAGGAAGCGGCCGCAGCCGGGGGGAGAGGAGGGAGAGCGCTCACGCGGCGGGGCCCGCGGCGGGGCCAGCCGGTTCTGCACCCCTGGCAGCGGGCGCGGGCGGCGTGTTGCCCAGAAGCACGCGGTGTCGTTACCCAGGGCCCGCGCTCAGTGCTTCCCGGCAACGTATCGTCGTTTCCAGGTGGATGCTCCCGCCGCCTGGCCAGTCGCCCCATTCTGGCTCCTCTCGCAGGAGGCGGCAGAAGACGAAGGATGTGGTCCAGCCTCTGAAGGTGCAGGGGGCTGGAGCGGCGTGGGGAGGAGGAGGAAGAGGAGGAGGAGGAGGAGGAGGAGCAGCAGCAGGAGGAGGAGGGGGATGAGGAGAAGGACGAGGGGGAGGAGGAGTGGGGAAGGAGGAGGAGGAGGAGGAGGAGGAGCAGGAGGAGCAGGAGGACAGGGAGGAGTAGGAGCAGGAGCAGTAGCAGGAGCAGGAATAGGAGGCAGAAGCAGGAGCAAGAGGCAGGAGCAGGAGGCAGGAGCAGCAGCAGGAGCAGCAGGAGGAGAAGCATCATCCTTTCTGGGCCTCCGGGAGGGGCCCCGTCGCGACGGTTGGCGAGTGTTGTGGGAATAGTCAGCACGCGTCCCAGGAGAGGGCTCCCAGGAGGCTTCCAGGGGGTGGGAGGGAGGGAGGGAGGGCGCGAGAGAAGGAGGGAGAAGAGAAGAAGCAGGCGGACGAGTAGTCGGGGGAGAAGGAGGACGAACTCTTCGGAGGTGGCCCGCTTTGCGGGAATTCCTGGTTGGTTTTCGTTTGGTCCATGATTTGTCCAGGAGGGCCTGGAAATGGTAAGGAGGAGCATCAGCACCAGGAGCATCAAAACAAGACGTTGGAGGGATAAAGGCGAGGCAGCGGGGAGAGGAGGCCGACGTAATCAAGCCCCAGGGAGTCAAGGGCATATTGGGATGCGGGGGAGGAGGAGGAGGAGGAGGAGGAGGAGGAGGAGGAGGAGGAGGAGAAAAAAGGTCACCTTGGAGCAGCTCTACAACGGCACCACGAAGAAGATGGCGATCACGAGGCAGGTGATCGACAAGAAGAAGGGCGTCAAGGAGTGCCGCTCGTGCGACGGCCAGGGCATGCGGGTAGAGGTCATACGCATGGGGCCGATGATCCAGCAGATGCAGTCGCCCTGCGGGGCGTGTGGTGGGCAGGGGCGCACCTTCACCACCAAGCAGGAGCGGGAGGTGCTGGAGGTGGCGATACAGAAGGGCGCCATGGACGGTCGCCTGCCCCTTCCCAGATCACTGGATACCGAATTTTTCTGTTGGTCGCGATCGGTAGCGACCGACGGGCACTCCAAGTCGGTCGCGCCCGATTGGTGGCGACGGATCGTTCGCGACCGATTTTGAAGCAGCTCGGCCGCGACCGATATCGAAGTCTGAAGCAAAATCGGGAGCGACCGTTCTGGTCGGTCGCGGCTGGGAAGTTCCAGCATCCAATGATTAGGGCTCCTCGTGCGTCTCCCTGCGGTCCCCTCCCAGCCGGGCGACGCGGCAAGGTCGCGGCGGCCAGTCTGTCGTCGCCCTCTCGGCCTCCAGAGGCCGCTGCCCAGCCCTGCTCAGGGACCGTCCACAGTGCCTGGCATCGGGGGCGAGCGAGAGGGGGGGCAGTCAGACGGAGAAGGTCTTCTCAGAAGGTGGCGGACTTCTCACAAGCCCTCGCGCCTTCTGAGAAGTCTCTGGTGTCTTCGGGGAAGGCTTAGAAATTCTCTTAGACGGCCGGCGGTCTTCCGAGCCTGTTGAGAAAATCCACCCTTTCGCCTCCCCCCTGGGCTCGCCGCCGACAGTAAGAGGGCGCGATCCCCAAGGGGGCCCACGTCGCGAAGAAGCAGCGCGGTCGGAGGTGAGGACCTTCGTTTCCGCCGATTGGAGTACAGTCGGACCGGGGTCCCCAACTGACCTAATGTTCTTCGCGCTCGTTGAATGCTCCGGTGCATCCTGGGGGAGGGTACCCTCGAGTGTACTTCAGCTTGGCCGGCGGAGGGCCTCCCGTTCCTGAAGGATGCTCTTCCGGCCTAGGTCCGCCTGCAGGGAGGAGGAGGAGGAGGAGGACGAGGAGGAGGAGGAGGAGGAGGAGGATAAGGAGGAAGAGGAGGAGGAGGAGGAAGGAGGAGGAGGAGAGGAGGAGAAGGAGGAGGAGGAGGAGGAGGAGGAGGAGGAGGAGGACCCCTTTACCGAGCATTGAGCATCATGAAAAAGGAGAGAGAAGGATAGGTGGCGGTCGAGCGGCGGAGCGGAGCACGGAGGAAAAAGGGCGATTCCTGGGACCACCTCCTCCCTGTGCCAACCCCGTGCTCGACGCCCTCCTCCTTTCCTCCTCCTTCCTCCTCTCCATCCTCTCATCCGCCTCCTCCTCCTCCTTGCACATCCTCCTCTGCCCCCCTCCGCATCTCACCCCGTCCCCCCTCCCTCGTATGTCCCCGCGCCTCGCCCGCCAGCCAGGGCCAGCTCGGCGCCTTCTCTCGATTGCCGGCCCTGCCGGCCCCCCCCCCTCCTCCTCTTCCTCCTCCTCCTCCTCCCTCCTCCTCTCCTCCTCCTCCTCCTTCTCCCCCTGTTCTTCCTCGTCTCCTCCCCTCCTTCCCCTCCTCCTCCTCCTCCCTCCTCCTCCTCCTCCTCCTCCTCCTCCTCCTCCTTCCTCCTCCTCCTCTCCTCTCTCCTCCTCCTCCTCCTCCTCCTCCTCCTCCTCCTCCTCCTCCTCCCTCCTCCTCCCCTCCTCTCCTCCTCCTCCTCTCCTCCTCCCCTCCTCCTCCTCCTCCTCCTCATCCTCCTCCTCTCTCCTCTCCCTCCTTCCCTCCTCCTCCTCCTCCTCCTCCTTCCCTCCCCCCTTTGTTTCCCAAATTTTTTTTTTTCCTCCTCCTCCTCCCTCTCCTCCACATCATCCTCCTCCTCCTCCTCCTCCTCCTCCTCCTCCTCCTCCTCCTCCTCCTCCTCCTCTTCCTCCTCCCCCCCCCCCATCGCCCAGCATGCCCTCCTCCTCCTCCTCCTCCTCCTCCTCCTCCTCCTCCTCCTCCTCCTCTTCCTCCTCCCCCCCCCCCATCGCCCAGCATGCCCCCCCTCGCGGGCCGCCTGCCGCGCACGGTCAGTGGAAGGCCGGCTCCGCGTGCCGCGCCGCTGGCCCGGGCCCCACCACGCTGTGTCTCGACACGCGCTTCTTTGCAGGGGAGGAAAAAAACACCTCCGATCACTGGCGTTTGCTAGGTTTGAGTCGGGCCTGTCCCTCTACAAGAGGAGCATGCAGAAATAGTAATGAACGATTTTAGTCTGGGGACGATCTTTGAATATTTTTTGACCATTTGGGGGTATTCCTGGAAAATGTTTTATTTTATTTCTCGTCCAGGATCCCCCTGTAGGAGGACAGGCCCGAGTTAATATTAGGTGGCCCTGGGCGTTTACTGAGCAGCCCCGTGCTGTTCGATTCCTGCCTTGGGTGCGTCTGCTAAAGTGCTTCGCTGGTCGGGGTGCGTTTCCAAGAAGGGTGGATTTGATGCCCCCTGATTGTCCCTCAGCGATCTGAACCAATGACCCTCTATGCGACGAAAGCTTTGCACGCTGAGCACGTCCCGGTCCCGAGAAGCATCAGCGCCGCGAGCTCTGCCTGACCCACCCTTCCCTCGGAACAGAGCGACACGCTGTCAGCTCGCAGGGAACGGCGTGTCGCCGGGGCCGCCGCCGCGACACGCTGAGCAAGCAAGGCCCTGGCCGTTGTTCCGGCCAGTGCCCAGGAGTCCGAGGGTTGGGCGTCGCGTAAGGGGGGGGTGATAAGTGGGGGGGCCGCGAGGGTTACAAATCAAAGAAAGCCCTTTAGCGCCCCTGAAGGGGCCTCGTAGGGCCCACAGCTGGGGCCTTGCACCTTTCTCCCCTGCCCCATCGTCTCCCCGAAGGAGGAGGAGGAGGAGGAGGAGGAGGAGGAGGAGGAGGAGGAGGAGGAGGAGGAACCAGGATGATGGAAGGCAACTATCGACCTGTCAACCGCGTGGAGGATGGGGTCCTGAAAGCGGCGAGACACGCCTGGGACCTTTTCTCCTCCAGTGCCCGTCACCTTTTTGCTGCGGGCCTCGATCCCCGACGCCCTAGTCCTCACAGAGCGGACCCCCAATGCGCCTCGACCCCTTCCGTGGTACCAGCTCTGCATCCTGAGCCAGGTCCTGGGGCAGGTCCCAGTGAGTGCCCCGATGGAGGCCGAAAATGGCAAGGCAGCATCCTGTCGTGATTTCTTACAGACGCGAGAAGGGTTGGGAAGAGGGGGCCAGAGAACTTTTTATTCACGCAGCCGGTCTCGACCCCGTCGCCCAAGAGGCCACTGTACTCTCGACTCGGGCAAGTGTTCCTGCATGGCATTGCCCCCCCCCCCCGCCGCCTCTTCAAACAGCGCTGGGCCGAAGAGCCGTGCAAGCCTATCCCGACTTGCGTTAAGTCCAGATTTCTTTTCGGGCCTCGCCCCCCTCACCTCGATGCAAGTACGCTCGCCAGAATCTAGATCAAGATCCCTCTCTCCACCTTTTCCCAGGGGCCGCCTTGTCATCCTGCTGATCCTCTTGTGCTGGCGGCCCCAGGCCCCGACAGCATCCCCAGGGGCTGAGCCTGTCGATCTGGCGGCGGTGTTGCAGCCGTCGCCGCCCCGTTGCCGCCTCGTCGCCGCCCGTAACTGGGCCTGTCCGTCGGTCTTGCGGCAACTGATGTTGCCGCCGTCGCCGCCTCTTCGCCGCCCGTAACTGGGCCGGTCTGTTTGACTGGCGGCGATGTTGCCGCCGTCGCCGCCCCCTCGCCGACCAGTCGCCGCCCGTGACCGGACGTGTCTGTCGGTTTGGCGGCGACGTTGCCGTCGTCGCCGCCCCATCGGTTTGTCGCCGCCCGTCGTCTTGGCTCGTTTGTCGGGTCCGCCGCCTTGTTGCCGCCGTCGCGGCTCCGTCGCCGACTCGTCGCCGCAAAATGAACTGCACCACAGGCATTGCACCACATAGATTGGACCAAATAGATTGCACAGCATAGATGGCATGTTACGGAATGCACAACATGGATTTCACAGCATATACCGGCCCACTATTCTTCACCACATAGACAGCGCAACATAGATTGCGAATGTGCATGTACCGACAGGCATACACCCTTACCTATACGACCACCCTTCGGGTGATAAGGAGGTTCGGGGGGGGAACCAACGTCCCACTCGATCGGTCTCACTATCGATCTCAGTATCGATCTCACTATCGGTCTCGCTCGATCGATCTCACTCGATCGATCTCACAATCGATCGATCTCACACTTGATCTCACCATCGATCTCACAATCGATCACACAATCGATCTCACATTCGGTCTCAATATCGATCTCACTATCGATGTCACAATCGCTCTCACAATCAACGTCATCATCATCATCATCATCATCATCATCAACATCATCACCAACATCGTCATCATCATGAGGGCACCGTCATCATCATCATCATCATCATCATAATCATCATCAACGTCAGCATCACCATCGGGACAACATCATCATCATCACCATCATCATCTCATCATCATCATCATCATCATCATCATCATCGGGACACAGCCATCGTCATCATCATCAGCAGCATCATCATCATCATCATCATAATGGGGATACCATCATGTTCACCATCGTTCCCATCATCAACATTATCATCAACATCGTCATCATCCTCGGGACACCATCATCATGATCATCGCATCATCATCATCATCGACATCCTCATCATCAACAACATCATCATTGGGGCACCATCATGATCATGAGCAACATCATCATCAACATCGTCAGTATCATTATTATCATCATCGGGACACCATCAACATCACCATCATCATCATCACCATCATCATCATCAGCATCATCATCGGGACACCATAATCATCATCAACATCATCATCATCAACATCATTATCGCCGGGACACCCTTTCCATCGACATCATCATCACCAACATCATCGGAATCATCATCATCATCATCATCATCATCATCATCATCATCATCATCATCATCATCGGGACACCATCATCGTCATCATCATCAACATAATCATCATGAGCATCATCATCCTCATCATCGGGACACTATCATCATCATCGACACCATCATCAACATCATCATCATCATCATCATCATCATCTTCATCGGGACACCATCATCATCATCATCATCATCATCTTCATCATCATCATCATCAGAATCATCATCTCATCATCATCATCATCATCATCATCCCCGCGGGACACCGCGGGACACCGGCGGGACACCGCGGGCCACCGCGGGACACCGCGGGACACCGCGGGACACCGCGGGACACCGGCGGGACACCGCGGGCCACTGGGCGCCCGGAAGGGAGACATTTGGTCCGGCCGCTCCTCAGCCACACGGGACACCAGCGGG